TTTTTTTTTTTTTTGGTACCAGGGATTGAACTCAGGACCATGTGCTTGTGAGGCAGGTAGCAACACCACTGAGCTAAATCCCTGGCCCCATGGTTTCTAATATTTTCTAATATTTTACTCCTAAATTATTAGTTACAGGAAATAAAATCCTCTACCTCTGTTCAGTCAAGGAAATTAAATGATGGGCTGTAACACTTAGCCCCCTCCCCAACATGGACAGTGATAACCATATTCGTAGAGTAGCTGTACTCAAATCCATATTTTAGAGTTGCCATGAATGCACGTCTTTCTCAATTTGAACATAAGAACGCATGGCCCCTGAAGCCCTTGTAATAAAAATAGGATTTAGAAAACCAATGGATTTTTTTTATAGATAGTTTTTATACCAGATGAAATTATTATCTTAAGAAAGAAAAAAATCAATTTCACTAATGAGATACGAACTGACTTGGAGTGAACAGAAAGGTTAACTGCATCAGTTGTTAAGGAGCCCAAGCATATGTGTGCAGCATATTAACAGCTGCACAGGCCAGGGATCAAGAATGCTGAGGGTGGGAGGTAGCCCTGAAAAAAAATCCACCCCATCGACTATTCAAAGAGAAACAAAATGAGAAAGCAAGTCATTGCTCATTGCTGTAAGAATTTAATGAGTAACAGCCAATTTCTATTCTACTCCATGAAGAGAATTGGTCCTTTTGGCTCAGCATAATATTGTGTTCTGGGTGCCTTAATAATAACAAAAAATCTCTAATGACTTTTGGAGGTGGAAGCCATATTTTTCTTTTGTAGAGTTCTTTTGAGCATTCTTGCAGCTGTAATAGACTAGTGTCTACTTATTCCTAGTTAAAATAAGAATTTTCTTTTCTTAAGAAAGTCTCTGAAAAAACTGACAACTAAAGAATCACTCTCTTGTGTTATTCAAAGCAGAAAAGGCACAAACATATTCAATTACAGTGGGGTTTTTGTGGCAGACTGACAGCTCCAAAGGAGGACGAATTAGCGAAGATGACCTAGGCCAAATTAATAGCATGATGTCTCCTTTGAGAGTCTCCATTACTAAAGACAGCAGCAGAGATGCTGTTTACGTAGCCATCGGCAGCGATCAGTGCGTAATTGGAGAGATCATGCTGACCTACAGATGCACTGCTGGGAAATAACTGCTCCCTCATGAGCTGGAAGCAGAGTGGTCATCAGCCACCATCTTCTGGAGAGAGAAGTAGCAGCAGTTTGCTTGGGGGACTTGAGGAATGGCCTTAAGCAATCGAAGTGCTCTCCAGGTTTCTGCTCTAAACCAGTAGAACAGGGGTATGGTGTCACCCACAAGCATAGCTTCTGCCTGCATAGCGAGGAGGAGTCCTCTTACCCTGCCCTGAACCCGCAGAGAAGGTGATGCAGTGTAAACCAAGGCACAGCCAGATGCCTGAGCGGGAAGTACTGCAGGTCCAAAACCAAGGGATGCCATGAAGTACCATTTCCTCAGACACTCTGAAAAATCATAGAATATATAGGCTGGGCACAAGGAAAATGATTTTGTGCCTTTCTATTTTACATATAAAATCTTTAAATTTAGAGGAGAGATTGGCAATATCAAACAAACTGTATTAATTTTTAATACTCATCTATCTCACATTGTGACTTGTCTGGGAAGGTGTGACTGAAGCAATTATGCATTTAATTCATTTTTTCTTTGTTCCCATCTCTGTTTTTGGACCCCCTTTAAAGGACAGTTAGAATGAATACATTTAAGTGAGATCTTTAGTGTGTTTGCTATACTTAGAGCAGTTTTTATAGGGAAGCTTTTTGAAAAACTGTGCTAGTTCTGGGGATTTAGCTTAGTGGTTTTGCCGCGCAAGGTTCTGAGTTTGATCTCCGGTTCCAATAAATAAATAAAATACATAAAAAACTATCTATAGTTTTTTGCTGCTATGTATGTGCACAAACTATATATGTACTGTTTAAGAAATCATCATAAACTCTACAATTACTACCAATATGAGAAAATAAACCCCCCATTGTCTCTTCCCGTCCAACTCTTTAATCAGTTTCTACTAAGGTAAAAACATAATTAATTGAGTGTTTTGTGTGTGTGTGTGTGTGTGTGGTACTAGAGATTGAACCCAGTGAGTGCTGAGCTACATTTTAGCCCTTTTATTTTGAGGTAGGTCCTCGCTAAATTGCCCAGGCTAGCCTCAAACTTGTTATCCTCCTGCATCAGCCTGCTATGCAGCTGGGATGATAGGCATGTGCCGTAATGCCCAACCATGACTGTTTTTTTTTTTTTTTTTGGTACCGGGGATCGAACTCAGGACCTTGTGCTTGCAAAGCAGGCAGTAGAACCACTGAGCTAAATCTCCGGCATCCATGACTGTTTTTAAACACTGCCAGTGGAGAGGCTTGTTTTGAATGAACATTTGATTTTGAACAATTTGAGTGTTGAAAAGATGAATTCATTTTTTTTTTCTAGGTGAGAGAGAAGGCAGGTGAGAGAACTATGTAGTCACTTAAATTTAATGAACTTTATTTTTTAAGAGCAGTTTTAGGGTCACAGCAAAAGTAAGCAGTAAGTGCAGCATCTCCATACACTCCATTCCTGCACATGCACAGCGTCTCCCAGTGTTGATATCGGCCACCATGGTGGTACATTTGGAGCAGTTGATGGCTCACATTAGTGCACCATTACCTCTTCATGTCTGCAGCGGACATTAGGGGTTCCCTCTTGATGTTTCCATCCTGTGGATTTGGACCAGTATATAACGA